TACCTTATATGCAAGAGAATGGAGGTAGGAGGAGGATTATTTGTTTAGGAGTGAAATAGATATTATGGCCCTATCTACATGATAAAGAATTGAGATAACTGGATGCTGGTGTGAGTGTGGTGGTAAGGTTATGTACAGGGTCTCATTAAAAGATGAGGGAAGGTTGAGGGCAAAGGGTAAGCTAAAGGATATGATTGATAGAATGTTGTTCCCATTATGAGTTAGGCCTCATTTTATAGGGAGAGATCCTGAGGTCGTGAAAGGAAGAAGCCAAAAGTGTTTTATTCCTATTAGAAAAGGGAATATTTGATTCGGTGTCAGTTATCAAGGGACACCGCTAGGGTTTTGCCACATGCCTTATGAGATGTCTGCAGGACGAGGTTTCCTTTCTTTTGAAGATTCTCATAATACTACTTCCTTTTGTAAATCTCTTAAACTGACGTGGCATGGATGATGTCAATACTAACCTTACGTGTCTTTTCTAATCTTAATGGGCGTTCTATCACGAGTGGCGTCAGTAAATCATGCATTTCTTTGTTCATCTCTAGCCTACGATGGTGGTGAGCTCATCGCAAGTTCGCAATGGCTCTGAGCTCATCATAGACTCACAATGGCTCTGAGCCCATCATAGGCTCACGATGGCCTTGTGTTCATTGCAGATCTTTGGCGACTTCATATTCCTTTTCAACGCCCTAGCTTTGGGTTTTTTGTAGGTTCGTGGTGACCCTGAGCTCATCGCAAGCTCATTTCAGGCTTTGAGCTCATCATAAGTCTGTGCAAGCTTTTGAGCTCATCGCAAATGTGTGTCGAGTCATGAACACTTTACGGGTGTCTCTGTGGCATCGATTTAGCACCTTCTGCGCTATTACAGTTGTGGTGATCAACATGTACCTACAACTAGTGCAAATTTTGCATCAGTTTTTGAAATGCAAAATTTGCACTACCAATGTGTGCAAATTTGCATTTGATTTAGATTTGCATTGTTTTCTTTTTCCTGTTTTTCAAGACTAAACTGTATTTACCTACTTCTCTTTGTCAAAGAGCAAGTTGTGCCTACTTTATATCTGTACTCAGACATAAATGAGTTTCAAAAACATGTTCATAGAAATAATTTGTACTGATGCAAAACTATGATAGTACAAATGATTTGAATGTAAATCATAACCTATTTTTGTTTCAAATTTTAACTTATTTTGCTTGATTGTAGTACAAATGAAGTAAATTAAGACATGGAGCAAAATAAAGTAAAACCTAAATCAAAGTTAAAGGAACATTTGCATTTTCTTTTCATTTGCACTCTCATGCATTTGTACTAGTGCAAATAAATTTGCACTGCAACCAAACACAGCCACAAGGACAAATCATCAAAACTAGTGCAAATTTCCCCACTGAGGTTCTGAACTAAACACTATAATGAAAAAGCACTTGCATACACTCTCCTCTTGGTAGGGTTGTTTCGCTGAAGTCGGGGTCTAAGTTGGGTTATGCAATATGAAGAATTTCAACTACATTGGATATGGTTTTGGCTCAACCTCATTGAAAATTTAAATTCTAGTCCAACGCAAGTTGCACCCCTAGCTTAACCTATATTGTGTAACCATGGGTAGATCTACTTGGCAAAAAGTTGGCCTAACCCGTGAATCTAACCCGGAAAAATAGGGTTAGGGTCTCATATTTAGCTACCTGAATTTGAGAACGACCTAACCTGACCCAACCCAGAAAAACTAGGTTGGGTTGGGTCATGGGTCAACCTGCTAAACCGATTGTTTGGTCTAATTGGGACTATTCATGTATTGTTAGAAAGTTCCATTCTTTAATCTTTACCATTCAGTGTTTATTCTTTATTGTTTATTCTACAAATTGTTAAATGTTCAAGTTTTTTATTTTATTTTTGGAATTTTAGGGTTAATTCCTTTAATTTTGGCATTTTTCTTGTATCTTTTCTTTATTTTTAAAATTTCAGTTATTTTTTGGATGACCCAAATTGACCCATGGTTAGTGTTAGGGTCCAGCATTTGCCAACCCAACCCGAAATCAACCAGAAGTATCGTGACTCAACCTGAACTGACCCACCCAACCCAATGGCTAGGTCGTAAATTTAGATCTTTTAAGTGCATGTTTGGCCCTGAAATTCCATTGTAAGACCATTTGACAATTGCAAGTTGCCCAATTTGAAGAATTTAAACTACATTAGGCTTATTTTAAAGAGAGAATGATGGTTCAGCCCAAGGTTAGAATTCTTAAGCCCAAAGTACAGTTGGAGTAGGTGCCAGATTGAAATTGATGCTAATTCAGGGTGGGTATTGATGGATAGAGTGGGAATATTTAACATTTTGAATTTTTATAGGTCAGCAGTGGAATTCAGAAATCTGCAATGGGCCTATCCGTACTTTTTCTTGATAAAAAATAAAAATACGTATGGGCATAGTGGATTTGCAATGGGCCTATTCAGAAATTCCATGTACATTTTTGCCAATTGTGGATTGCCCAAATTGGTGGGTTGAATGCAACCCATTGACCCATTGCCATTTGCACGGGAAAACATTAAAACGCCGTCTGTGGGAATCGAACCCACGACCAGTTAAAAGCCATGCGCTCTACCGGCTGAGATAAGACGGCAACGAAATTAAAAGTGAAGGTTTGAATGTATATAAGAATTAAGTTACTTCGTTCAATATATACAACTTTAATTTTTTATATCACTTTTACCATACTTTATGATATATATCTGAATCTGATGAACACGATTGGAGCCCAAATAACAAATCAACAAGGTCAAACAGCGTGCAAAATCACGTATTGTACCTGAATTTAAGGTTTATATTTACAAAAAACAAATAATCAAAATAAACATAATATTACACAAAGGAAATGCATGCTTATGAAGTTGTGGCTTTACATGAACGGATGGCGTTCCCATGTATTCATGTATTATAGAAGTTTATAATGAAGTTTTCTAAAAGTAAAAGATGTGTTTAAGAAATTCTTCCCACTCTGTCTTACGGGTAAGTTGCTTCATTTACTTGTGAAAGAACTTGAATTTCGAATTTGTGCACATGATCATGATGCTGCTCATGATGCTGCTCAGTTCAACAAATGAGGAGAGACAGCAAAGTTCGTGGTGGAGGAGGTCACTTGCAGTCACAAACAAATGTTAGAGGCCTTGAGATGCATAATGTCATAAGGATGGAGACTCCGATGATCAAGTTAGAAAGAATGGAAGTGATGGTGAGCTAAAAAACTCAATTGATAATTAACTGTTGTACAAGGTGAGATAAGATGACTAGAGAGCCAGGGAGTAAGACTGTTTAATTTAGAGAGTCGTAGGTCTCATGAGTCATGACGGCTCCCCAATTCCAATTGCTTCCTCCACCCATAGTAGGGGCATGTGTATACGTGGTTGACTGTTAGCATGCATTGAGTGCATGGGTTTTAAGGGCCGGCCCAATTAGGTTGACTGACATGTAACCGTCGAGTGTTATGATTTAGTTTGGTGTTTTTAAAATACTAGTGGTATCGGTTTAGTTTCAATTAACTTAGAAGTAGGTTACGTGTCATTTCGATAAGTCGGGCCACTATAAGTTATTCGGACCTCGGTCTTGGGCAAGGTGTCCGAATTGGCCTGACTTGCTGAGGTGGTAAGGAATGCTGAATTGTCATCTAGTCAGCAGATTGCTTCCACGTGTCCACATGTTAGCAGGTCAGGCCAAATTATATGTATATGATGAAAATAAATGAAAAAATACTTATATTTTTTTTATATAAACTTTTATGTTTTTTCTTTTAATAATTTATTACAATTTTCATAATTCGAATCGAATCAGATCATATTTGAATTCGAATCACCATTTGTGAGATCTGATTAGATCTTCATATCGGATCTTGGATATGTGCTATTAGATTGGATTCAAATATATGCCCTTATTCAAAGCCAATCCGATCCATTTGCATCTCTAATCTAAGTATGCCCATATTTTTTGTTTGAATCCATGTACTATCAAAGTGTATACGTATTCATATCTATATTCAAATTGTTTGATACAATTCCCGATACCGATACTTCAATCCTTGATCACAACTTATGAATAGGGCAACCTACACAAACCAAAGACTTCAAAAACAAAGTGTATAACATTAAAAGTAAATTAAATGAAAAAATAAAATTAACATTTGAAATTAATCTCTATCTACGGTCATTACAAAAGCCAAAACATAGTGAATAAAAAAACAATAATAAAATACAATTAAAGATCAATAAAATGTCAAATATAGTCAGGATCAAGGAAAATAGCTCCATTAAAGAATAGGGCTTCATATTGTATGAAAATCAAATGTGGCGGCTACTATATGTCTTTTCGCGATGTCTTCAGGGGTGACCAAAAAAAAAAAAAAACCAAAAAATTGAACTAACTGAAAAAACCGACCAAAGTTAATCAATATAAAAAAATAGCGGTTAATCGAACCGATTAGTATACATATATTTTTATATATTTTGTATATATTTATGTATGTATATTATATATAATTTATATATTATAAATTAATAAATATACATTATATATAAATAAATAATTATAATATATTATATAATTTTTATTATATATTTTTTATAATATATATTATGAAAACTAAACAACCGAAAACGGGCGAACTAAATCAAACCAATCAACCAGTTAACCGACTGATTTCGATTTGGTTCCAATTACCAGTTTTCAAAACACCGATACTACCAATTCGATTCAAAAATATGCCCCACGGTTCGATTATCTTCTGGGCTTTTCAACGTTCTGAAGACCAACCAACAGTCTTTCCTACTATTTGGCATTCAAAAGAGTAAAGACATGAAGCCCCTAAAGACAAAAGCACCCGGATCCGACTCAATTCGGAAGGAGTACAAATACAAATAAGTACAGCGCAAATATAAAGATTTTGCACTCTATAAATTTGTATTTATACTCTTCCCAATTAAGCCAAATTTGAGACTTTATATCTGTACTAAGCCAAATTTGGGACTTTCGTAAGCTAAACTTATCCAAGCGGCGCCTACTCCACCCCCAAATTATTCGATCGACAATTTCCGTGCCCGTCGCAACGCATCACTCTCTCTCGATCGACCTGCTGTTACCCTTCTTTCCTCTCTGTATTGCTAAGAAGCCACATCAATTAGCCCGTGTTTCTTTCTACCAAAGGAGATGACGTTGAAATGGAAGCAAGACGGAGGAACCGAGGAAGGAGGAAGAAGATAGATAGGGTTGATATTCTCATCAAAGAAAATAATAAAAGAACCTTCCGTTAAGTGCAGTTGACGGAGTTCCGAACTCCATAAACCAATCAGCCACACACAGGGTGGAGTTGAAACGTATTCTTTGTTGCCAACTCGGCGGCCACGTGTAGAAATTGTGGCCAAACAGGATTCCAAAGCGTAAAGGGGGATATTCCTCTTCCTCCCTTTTCTACTCTTCACACGCTATTCCTTTCCACCGAAGGTCCGGAGCTCGGAAGTTCAGATATTTCTCACTGTGGTCACTGCCGACTTCGGTCCGTCGTTACCATTGCCTTCCATCGTTTTCCGGTTACATTGCCGCCGAGTTTACTGCCACTCCATCTTCTAACTCATTTTCTCGTTCTCTCGCTCTTCCTCTCTCTAGAAATCCTACAAGTGTTTACTCTTTCCATAGCAGGTGGTGTCATCCTATTTTTGTCCCTCTTCTCCACCGACGGCAATAGTTCCAGAAGAAGCGAAGAACTGTCTTGACAACTTCTGTAAGGCAAGTAAAGCTTATTCATTGTCCTATTCATGGATTTGCTTTGTTCAATTTTTTCTGGGTTCTGCAGTATTTGTGGTTCAGTTCTCTCTTTATAGATTTTTTTTTTCTCTTTTTTTTGCTGTAACCCTCTTTACAGGTTTCGTTTGACATTTTTATTCAATGTTTTGGACCCAAATATAACGCGGCTGTATTTTGTTCTTGATCAAATTTTAATTTTGAGCACATCATTTATCTACTATTTTTGGGATCTCGCAAGTCGCAAGTTATCTTTATGACAGAAATTGGCACACTTTCATGAGTTCGGAAAATAATTGAAAATTTTACCTACGTTATATGAAATTGTTCAGTTTTTAACCCTGAAATTTTGGAGTATTGTCAACCAGCTATTGACAGCGCCTGAAACTTTTCTGTATGGAAAGAGGGCGACAAGAATAATCATATGGACCTATTTTAAGTTACCCACCATGGCCATCCCATGTAGAAAAATATATTATGTTGCTTTTGTTTACACACTGGAAGTAGGATTGCACTTAATCTTTGTTCTTTTTTGAGTTCCTTTGATCTTCTTAACAATAAAAAGTATCCTCCTTTGTTGAAATAACAAACTGGGGTGTCTTGAATTTAACTTTTTTGATTGGAGACGTCTTGAATTTAAATTATTAAGTAGTCAGGGTTAAGTTTTTTCAAATAAGTATTTTCTAGGCATTCTCTAATTGGCAGATGACTTTGATTTTTCAGAAAGACTGGTTTTAGTCTGATGAATCTATTTCCTAAGATTAGTTGAACCTAGATGGTCCTTCAATTTCATGATGACTTTTTTTTTGTTTTGAGAGAAAGTAAGGTACGAGTATATTAAGAAAACAAAAACAGTATAACAAGCTGCTATACAAAAAAGAGGGATGCACATCTAATGCCCATTATGACCTTAAACCCCCACCCTCTGCTTTACAAAAATATTATCATATACAAAAAAGGAATTGAAATTTCTTTCCCTACAAAGTTTGTTCATTGCCAGCCAGGAAAACAATTTCCCCAAGATTTTCTGGAAAACTGAATCAACCGTGCTGCTCGTTTTTGAACATTCTTGAGGCTTGCCAGACACACCAACAAACTGATGCAGGAGTGATATTCCATGCTACCTTCCCCCTTTTGGTTAGACCAGCTACACTTCATCTCTGTAAGAAGTCCACCACTGATTCTGGGTTGCAGGTTTGCACCTCAAACATTTTCGAAATCCTTGACCAGATCTCGTGGGCAAAGTCACAGTGTAACATCAAGTGGTTAACTGATTCGACATGCCCATCGCACAGCACACAATTATTGGACTCCAAAGGCATGCCCCTCCTAGTTAAGTTATCCCTGGTTAGGATTCTGTTGAGGTAGGTGGTCCACACAAAGAAGGCTACCTTTGATAGCACATTTTTGCACCAAATGATGTTTGCTGGAATGCCCCTCCAAAGGGATGCCTTTGATGGCACATTTCATGATGACCTTAGTATAACACTCTTACTCCTTTAATGTAGAGTTATGCTCTAACTGGTTAAAACCTCATGCTTTCCCTGTTGCAATGAACTGATCCGTGAGTCTTTCTCTTTTTTGTTGCTCAACTAGGAATGGCAAATGGTTGTCGAATTTCACAACACTTGACGGGTTGCAACCTAGGGTTTTACTCAAGAATTCAAATTTGCTCTTATGTGGCTGGAAGAAATTCCATCTCATCTTCTCTAAGACCTTTTGGAAGGATATGTGAGAAACACTTGCAAAGATGTTTGAGTTCTAGCCATGCTTCAGGAGATAACATTGGTTGCTTGCAAGCTAGAGTACCTGGTGAAGCTTCATCTCTATCTGACTATTTCAGGTGTGATTATTTGTTGCCACTTGCTCTACTCTCTCTCTCTCTCTTTCTCTCTCTCTCTCTCACCCCCATCTAAGCCTTATCCTAACTATATGAGGTCAGCTACATGAATCCTGTTTCATCATTCTGTTCTGTGCTTTTGTTTAATGCCGTATCTATTGTTAAATTATGAGCACTTAAAACATTTCTTACTACTCCATGTCCTTTTTTATCTGCCCCTAGCCTTCTAGCCTTCTCTACCCATATCTTACTTGATCATAGATATATTTATTTTTGGGAAAATCTAAAATCTAAACATCCTTTCACTTATCTCACAACATCTTCCCCTCAATTTTAGAAACCTCCAGAGAACCCCCTCTAACACACTTTTGTAAGTTACATATATACCTTCTGTTAAGTCACTGTCAGTAACCATAACAGAAGTGATTTTTAATATTTTCAATGACAGTAATCTTAACTAATCAATCAACCCTTTTAACTATTTTTTTGTATGATGAAGGTGCCCCTAATGCATTTCTTTCACAACCCAGTGCCCCTAATGCATTTCTTTCACAACCCAGTGCCCCTTGGCATATCTTTCTTGTACTTCAAAGTCACTTCTCATTGCCCACTGCTTCAAAGTTGCTTTTAATGGTTCTAAGCAGGAGGCATGGTGTCCCTGAAGGACTCAAACACCCTTTTTTTATTGGAAACGACAACTTCATTAAAGCAGAATTAAAGCAATATCATGTAACCCACTATAATCCTCTGTTACAACTCTGCCCAGAATAGATCCTCCTTCATAGTCCCCTGTTTTGCTAAGGTATCAGCTAGTCCATTAGCTGACCTTCTCGTCCATTTGAAAGAAGCCCCAATCTCTCTTGTTATATTGAGGATTTCCCTTGTAGCATGTCTATATTATCCAAGCTCCCAAACTGCCTGATTTCAACCAATCAATTAACAATTTTGGAGTCTCCTTCTATCTCTATTTGGTGTATCCCCATCTGTTTGGCATATCTTGCACCTTGAAGCAAAGCCATCACCTTCGCTCTCAAAGAGTCACCTATTCCATTAAAGATCCTATTATTTCTTTCTTCCCAAACACCCTTTCATCTGATCTGAAATGCTGGAAGCAGGGGGTACTGTGGGGGAGACCCCAACTACTTTTCCCAATTCAGTACCTCAATCTGTTTCAATAGATGATAATAATACATCCCTTCCAACACAGCGAGGCCATGAATTTAGGAGAAATGTGGCAGAGGTAGGTAAAAATCCATAAGAATTAACTGATTGTAATGTGAAACTTCTGTCTGAAGGGGGAAAAGTAGGAATAAGTGAAAGTAGAGAAACTAGGAAACAAACAAGTAGTAAACTTTCTGCCTCTCCACTTCTATTTAATCTGTCCATTATCCATCTTTGGTTCAATTCCCATGCTAGTTTCCAAAAAACATGGAGGAATTTTACCTCCACCAGTGAATATATCTATCTATCTATAGATATATATTTGATCAGCAACCACCTCCACCAGTGAATATTCCTCCACTGCTGTCTGTTAATCATGTTTTTAGGTCTCTTCATTAATGAACAAGAGCACGGATTTCTTATGGCCCTTGTCTGTTGGGTGGGTAGGGAGTGTAACCAATTTGATAATTGGGTTCTGCACATGAAGGCTAGTTTTCAGAATGGTGAACATGCTGGAAATAGAATCACTTTAGCTCTCCTAGAATAGTGAACCCATGAATGGTTTTCCAGTCTTATTAAATGGTTGTCCAACATCCCCACATGGTGTTCTGGTGTCATCAAATGGTTTTTGAGCATCAAATGGCTATCTAGGTTATCAAAACAGTCCTCTAGAATCTCCAACATATGTGACTGTTGAAGTTGGTGAAGACAAAACCAAAGTTTATGCAGACGAGAATGCTGAATTGTCTTTGCTGGAATGAAGAGGATCTAAATAACCAGAACAAACTACAAGACCATTCTATAGTGTGTGAAAAACTGCTCTCAAATTGGAAGAAAATCCCAAGTCCATTTTTGATCAGTAACAATAGAGTTCCTTCTTTCAAGTTTTGTCTTTGCATTTTTTTTTTCATTTATTTTTTATACATAAAAGCAAGGCAGAATTAGGTTTATGGACAAGCACATTAGAAACAAGAGGTGTTACAATAAGCAGGACTAAAACAGAAAATGCAATGTAAATAAATTTAATAATAATGGGGGCGCTAACTAGGATACACTTAGGATTGGAGACCAAGAGATAACTCAATGTGAGCATGTAACATCTTCCTTTACCTTGGTTTAATAATTCATAACAAAAGGAAGAATGATGGTGCAAAAAAACAAATGGAAGATTGAGGAGGATGTTGCTCACAGAGTTAGAGCAGGATGGGCAAAATGGAGGGCTGCATCTGCAGTCTTATGTGATAGGCAAATACCATTTTTATAAATCAGTTGTAAGGCCAACCATGTTGTATGGAGCAGAGTGTTGGGCAGTGAGGAAACGGCATGAGTGTGACAGAAATGTGCATACTTAGGTCACATGCATAGAATGAGGTGGTTAGGTCACATGAAGTCATATGAAGGAACCTATAACTAGATACAATAGGTAATAAAATGAGAGAAGGTAGACTGAAGTGGTTAGGTTACATGCATAGAACATCTACAGCACCCATTAGAAGAAGTGATCTGTTACGAGTTGAAGGGGTTAAAGAGCTAGGGGCAGACTGAAAAGGACTTGGGTGGAAGTAGTAAGAAATGATTTAAGAGCCCATAATTTGAAGATAGGTATTTGCACTGAACATAATGGAATGGTGAAACAGGATTCATACGACTGACCTCATATGGTTGGGGCAAGGCTTATATGATGATAATGATGAAAAACAAAACACAATGAAATTATGGAACATATACAAGTGTTATAAGAAATAAAACAACTAGTGGTCTAGTAAGACAGAGAACTATGACCAAAATACCACAAAGTAAGCCTCAAGTAACATGAACTAAAATGTTCTTCCAACCATAAAACTAAAAGATCCCATTCATCCAGCCAACAATCTCTTTTTTTTTTTCTTTTTGAATGTCAGCACCTATTCATATTTCCCTATCTTGTTTTTTGAAGAGTAAAATGAAAATTTATTAAATATAAAAAGAAAACAAAGCAGTTCTGAACTAAACAGCACAGTATGATACAAAACTGAGACAAATTACAATGATTGAATTTCAAGTACATTCCATAAATTCTCCCCCAAATCTGACCTACTGACTTGATCAAAATCTGGAAGCATCCAGACCCAATCTGCTACCAGTTTCCCCACCAGAGCCACCAGAATTTTTAGATTTATCTTAAAAAATCCTTTAGTTTCTTTCGTTCCACAAAGTCTTGCATACAGCAAAGGGAATGCATTCACTGGTTGTATGCCTATCTTGTGTTTATTTCCCTATCTTGTGCTTTCCAAGAGAAGGATTTTGTTTCTGAGTGTATGCCTTCACTGATTTAATAAAGCTCTTTGATCATTACTATTGATAGAAAAAGGAGAAAACATAAGATCATTGAAAAGCCAAGAATCTACCCAAAAATATGAATCCAAAAGGAATGTGATCTTTATGAATTAATCACGACCAATGAAAAAACAACATTGTTAAAAGTAAAGGCAATAGCCTAAAGCATAATCCCTTTGACCCCAATAAGAAACAAGCAAACCAGAAAAAATGTAAACGAAAGACATAACCTCAATAGCGTATTAAAGAGTACAGCCACAACACAGTCCACAGTGTACCAACCACCTGCCATGATCACAACCCCACCATTTCTCCATTTCTATTCCTTTCCCTGAACCTTCCTCTTGTAGCCATTTCTTTATTAGCCCTTGTTTTCTCTGCCTTAATTGCGTCATGTATTTTTTTTTTTTTTGATAAGCAATTGCTTCATGTAAAAAGCCATGACCTCCCACCTCAATATCAATGAAACTGGCTGAGTTTGCTGACACCTACTCAAAACCTTTCACTTTCAGCCTCTAAATCAATGTGTATTGGACAGCATACAAATTTCCTATGAATCTAACTTCTTATTGGTATCTCCACCATCTTGTCAACTACTTTCAAATTCAAAGTCTCTGCCACCACCTTTTATCCTTGTTGACCCCTTAAGAGAGGCATGTGAATGCAGTATCTTTTTTTGGAGCCCTTACAGAGGATTCTGACGAGCATGAACCCATGACTTTAAGTCTCCTTTGTCTTCTTTTTCTTGTACTCTATGAATAGGCTCAGATATCTTCCCATTCCTCAACACCTTGTTGGCATGCACTTGGGGAGCCTTTCCTTATGAAGCCCCTTTCTCTTGTTACTTTTGTTTTTCACTTCTTTGATCTATATATTTTTTTTTTCAGTTTTCAGTTTTCTTCTTTTTTCTTTTTTATGTGTGTATATGCATTCCTTTCGGTTTGTCTTTAATATATGGAGGAGAGCATTCACAATTCTCATACCCTTTGGCGGGACGTAATCAACCTTCCAAAAACACTAGTTCTTCCACTTGGTCCCCTTTTTGTACAAGTGTAGTTTTTTTTGTTTGATGCTTATTGATGCTCATGCTATTCAAATGTCTGAGTCATTTACCATTTCTAGTCAGCAGGAAGATGATCGGGATCTTCCTTCCGAAGGATCATCCTCTTTGACAGGTTCCACCTTATCCTTTCTTATGTTATTTTCCCATTATTTTAAGGTAATTGGCAATTATTATTGGTTAGTAGTCTTAATCTCTGAACATGTCTGTCATATGGGTTCACCTTGACTTTTAGGTGTTAATTATTTAATACTTATTTTAGAAGTCAGAAGAATCAAAGAACAGTTCAGGTTTCAAAGGTTTTGTGAGGCTGAAATTGGTCCCATTTAAGAAGATGAAGAAATCAAAGATTGTTAAGAAAGGTGAAGTGGTTTCTTTTCAAGCTGATGGAATAAATGGGTAACAAGTTCTTTGTAGTGTTAGAGGGGTTTGGGGTCTTTTGCAGTAAGGGGTTGGTTTCTGCTGGGTGGGGTGGTAAAGTGTTATGAGTTGGAGGATTGAGTAGCAAAATTGTTTTGGGCTTTGAATTTTTGATAGGGTTGGGTGGTTATTTCTTTTTCATGTATATCAATGATTTTTGGGAGGTGGCTGATTTCAGTTTGTTTATGATGACTTTTTTATTCCTTTTTGCTGGGTGGTTTCTTATTACCTCTTCTGTAGTATTCTATTTCTTCTTGAATAAATTTACTTTTTTGTTTATCTTCATAAAAAAATGGTGGGCAGGTGGATGGGAGCATAGGTTAGGTGGGCCTTCCCAGAGTATTGGAAGGAAATGGAAAATTAGTCACAAGTTTATTTAGCGATTGCCATCCAAAACTTCATTTAGGTATTTCTGTTGCCTTCACCTTACCTGTTTTGTCAATGTCTGAGTCATTTGAAGTTATGCTGAGTATTTTCTTTTTTATTTTATTTTTTAAATATGGCACTTTTCTATATTGCCACAGGAACCAACTTGAATCTTTTGATTTTGGTTGTGGCAGTTGGTTATATTCTGTACTAAAGTTATCCAGTTAAGGCAGTGATTTTGTGTTTTATTTTTTTCTTGGAAGCCAAAATATATAATACATAATTACAGTCAAGCTCTAATGAGTGTTCTTCATCCTAGATTTCTGGTTTATATAGGATCTTTCTCCTGTACTAATCTCCTGCTAGGTAGTTTATATTGGATATCTCAAGTCTTGTCTACCAGAAAAATTTAGCCTCCCCAAACTTATTTACTTTCTGGACTCTCAATTACTAAAAGTGCCGTATGCCAGATTTAATGTCAGCATATCTACTTTTCATTTTATTTTTCTATTGTTCTTTATTTAAGTAATTTTTTGTAGATTGGTTTATGCATGTTCATCAACAAAGTTAGGTACTATTGACTGCAATAATGATAGAACAACAATCCCATATCCTTGCACCAATACACTATGTAATTCTACATTCTACTGTCTAAAGTGTATTAATTCATCTATCATTAAGCTTTGTTCTCCTTGGAGACTGCATATTAGGGTGTATTTGCATTTTATGCTTCTTTTGCATATATATATATATATATATCTTCCAATTATTTCCCTACTAAATTCTTGTTTCATCTATTATTTCTCATGTACATATAAATAAATAGAAAGCCAAGTGGTTTAATTTTTTTGTCTTAACACAATATTGTAATGCTTTTCTTGTGACAACTTCATTAGGAGGTATAGTAGCTTTGGGAAAGTTTGATGCTCTTCATGTTGGTCACCGAGAACTTGCAATTCAAGCAGCAAAGGCTGGCATTCCTTTTCTTTTATCATTTGTAGGGATCGCAGAAGTACTTGGTTGGGAACCGAGGTACAGAATTCATGTAGCCAACCCCATATAGTTAGGACAAGGCTTATATGATGATGATGATCTTGTTGATGTTTCTATCAGTTTTTTCTTTCAAAGTTCCTCTCTTAGATTGTCTCAATATCTTTGCATATATTTTGACATATTTTGCTTATATTTACTCCTCTTGTGCACAACTTCTTGATTTAGTGGACTTGCCAAAGAAGTTTACATGGTATGGTTGTAGCCTTGGTAACCCAAGAGCTTCAGGTATTGGAAGTGTAATCAGGGATCAATCATACTGGAAATGTGGTGCTTAGCTACCCTGGTCCCATAGGATATGGAAACTCCCTAAGGGCTGAGCTGAAAGCTTTAATCCGAGGGCTATAATTGATGTGCTTGAAAGAAATGAAAAATGTTGAGGTAGAAGGTGATTAGGTGACTGTAAACCATTCCTTGGCTTCCACATTGAACGACTCTTTGTTTGTGCGTTTTTGTTTTTGTTTTTCTTCCCGGTCTTTGCTGACTCTCCTCTTGACAGGAGTAGTTTCTTTCTATCTTGATGAAAGCTTGGCTGAACTCTGTAAGGCTGTCTTTTCTTCAATGAAATTTAATGTTGCCTATAAAAAAAGTTTACATGATATGGTTGTTTTTTTTTTTTTTTTTGATCAATAACAAGAAACTTTATTAAAGATATGAAACTATGTGAAGCTTAGGTACAAAGGGGAGGTAAAAAGACTTAACTCCCCAC